GAAAACACGATATACGATAAAACCAACGAATTGTGCAGCAATTTATTCGTTAAAAACCTCGTTGATAAATTTATACCAATTACACATATAATAAAGTAAATTAAATTAAATACATATCTTAATCAAAAAGCAAACAGTTTTCCCCAAGTTTCTTTAATAGCATATAGTTATAAGGAAAATATTATTCATCATATTATCAATCCTAAATTTTATATGAAAGACAAGAGAGAAGTAGTTCGTACTATATAGTGACTTTCAAAAACTTGTTATTCTATTTATAGTTGATGCGTTAACAAAAATTCCATTCTTTCGTATATGATCGTAACATACTGAATTTTTTATAATACAATTAATAAAAATAATTTAGGTATTATACAAACTTTTTGATTGATATTTTTAAATTAATTTTTCTATAAATCAATTTGTTTGATTCAATTTTTGAATATATATATATATATATATATATATATATATACAATCAATTTGTAATCTAATAATATTTTTGCAATGATGTCACCTTTTATGTCACAAGAGAATAACAAATTTATATTAACACTTGTATTAAACATATATTATAAAATTTCTATTGAATCTCAATAATTTTTAAATGAAATATTTATCCCTTTAAAAATTCATTAATTTTTCTTTTTAAATACTAGAATTAAATTTTTTTATAAAAATATCTCAAGTATATTTATAAATGATGGTTATATTTTCATAGCTGTATAAAGTGTACATAATTATTAAAAAAAATTCTTACGAATTATTCATTTGGGAAAGAACATTTCTTAAAAATTTAATATATTCAGTTGATGTCAGCAATTCCGCAATATTTAAATAATGATTATTTCTGTAATAACATTTTTAATAATAATCAATATTTTGCTATATTGTACTTGTGGGTAGTAAACACAATTTATCTATTAAAATACATTACGTGACACATTTTAATATTAATGTTTTATGAAAACGTGCTTTTTGAGTAAGAAAAACATAATGTGGTAAGGTCATAAATCTAAATGGAAGGTGTCTATTTCGTAGGTGAAATATATTGATGAACAAACTTATATAAGAATTGTTTATAATCAAATAGTCACCATTAATACGTATAATTAATAAATACCATTAATATAATTACATTAAAAATATTTTCATATGTTTATAATTATTTTTTATTTCTTTCAATAATTGAGATATCGTTAATATTTTTAATATAATCGTCTAAGTTTTAAATATTAAATGTATAAATATAAATAAGCCCAGCGAAACATATTACTAATTTTATTGTTCCTATATCGAATTGGTATTAAAATTTCTTTAAATATTAAAACTGTGAAACAAATCATTTTTTAATGTGCATAAATAATAATAAAAATAAAAATAAAGATGAAATTTCTTAATAAATAAAATCTTCGAAAATATATAACACAAGCATTCATTCTTAAAGAGTGTTTTAGATAAATTGAATTTTTACTAATTTATATATCTATATCATCCAGAATAATCTGATTAAACTCTCCATTCCTTCTGTCTTTAGTAATTGTATTCTATTAAAGCTATAAAAAAAAAAAAAAAGTAGTTAAGAATTTGAGACTCACATTATGCTTTAGAAGTATTATTTATTACTTATTTAAATATTGATTTCAATATTTATTATTGACTCTCGTTTTTTAAATTCTTATACGTTATTTTCAATTAATGTTGCATTAATGATCCTTCAGATTTCTTAGTCCATACATTTATAATTATGGATAATTAAGTGATTTCCAAATTTCAAGTTGAGTTTACATATCAATTTACAATTGTCTTATAATTATTATTGCGTATAATTGCTTTTACTATTAGAATAGATTTTATGAATGTTAATATATTATATGCGATATGGATATTATGAATACTAGTTAGTTTATTATAATAAAAGTTTCAATTAAGTAAAATGAAATATATTCATGTTTTATAATTGATTGATCTCCCATATATATATATATATATATATATACGTTTTGTAATACAGTTTTACAAATAATTTTTTCTTTATTTATATAAATTACAATTACGAATTACTGAAAATTATTCATAATTTAAATCATTATTAAAGTATTGTCAAATAATTAATTGATGAATAAATAAAGTATCATTTGTAAAAAAAATTAATCTTTAAAAAAAGTAAGTGAGCCTAGATCTTCAGAAATACATTATATCTATTATATAAACTATATACAATGAGAAATATATCGTTCTAGAACATTTCATACTTAATGTTACATCTTTCACTATATTTTGTTCGTCCTATTATTATATATGAAATCTCTGAGATAATTATAAACTACAATTAATATAATTTTGGAATATTTATTATTTGAACTGATAAGTATAGAAATTATTTAAAATACATTTATTAACAATATTTTAAAATATATATTTATATATATATATATTCTAAACAGATTTAAATGTTATTAGAAAATTTTTCAGTGTAACTTAATTCATGAATAGGACATAATAAACTAATAGAATATAATAAATAAGGGTATGATTCATAAGTATTTTATTATAAATTATAATTTATATCTGTTCTTTCAATAATAAAAAATTAATGACCGATCAGTTTATCAAAATTCTTTAAAAGACATTAATTTTGTAGAAATATATATTTAAGAAACATTATATTTATCAATTATATTAGTAATAAATTATTCAATTATATTTTTGTAATAAAAATTATAATACATAGGACTCAACTTATGCTAAAATTAACATACTGAATATTATAATAGAAAAAGAAAAACTGTATATCGAAAATATAATCATTCATAATAAAAGTGTAAATAAATGCTAAATTTTCAAGAAGAATTATTACGTAATTTATATTTAGTTTATCTACTCTGATAATAATTCTCTTGACAATTGTGATTGCATTCTCAATGTCAACAAAATTACTAAAACTAAAATTTGATATTAAAAACAAGTATAATAATAACGTATTAATAAATTTATAATTGATTTCTTTTTATAAATTATAATTGATCTATACTATAACCTAAAAACGATTCATAAAAAATGATTTCTGATTCATATGGAATTAGATCCCAACCGATAAATGATTGAAAACTGAAATAATTCAATATATTTGTAGAAGAATATACTTCAAATTATAAATAATTAAATAAATAGATAAATAAATTTATGTTTTTGTTATTATATGTAAAAATAAATTTATTTCATGGACCAGAGTATTTTATATACGGAACACTAAATGAGAAAAGGTTGAAACTCTTTACTTCTACTTTTGTTCCATGAATACCTGTAATTTGATATGCACCCAAATGTGTAGGAAGTATAAGAATGGGAAATAAAAGAACGTATATTATAATATTCTAGTATTTTACTAAATTAGAAAACTCAACAATATCTCAGTGACAAAATATCGATTCACATCAAATAACAATAATAATTTACAACATTATTCATGATTAATCGGATTATGAAACCTCTCTATGAAATCACTTTCCATTCGACACGATCTATCAGAAAACCTGGTGGTCGTAACATACTCATGAAGACTGCGTCTATCTATCTCAAATCCTATCATAAATACTAAATTTATTAATTATATAATAATTTCATCTTTTAACTAAATACTAAAATAAATATTAATCTTAAATGTAATTACTTTCTTCATAATAATAGCTACACATCTATTTTGTTTTAGCAATGAGCGATGGGTAAATAACTCGAATCCCGTATACGTTTATATCATGAATACAATCATTGAAGTCACAGCGATACAGTTGATGACCGGCAGCCCATAATACAATTCATAAATATACCAAAAGATTCGATAATGTTTATGGAGCTCCTATTCTGTAAATAATTTATCCAGTATTCTATGTTTTTCAATTTAATTACATGAGATTTTGTCCTGCAGTCTTAGAACATTTATTGATATTTTGGGAACACCGTAACTGAAGTATTCATTTGTAGAAACCGTTTCTAAAACCATTATAATTATATGCTTTAATATATAATAATAATATTTTTAAATTATAACATTGCCACTCCAAATTCAGATAAAGACATCAAAATTCATAATCAAATTAGTTTTACATACAAGAGAATATTAAGTATAAATAATGATGAAGAAGTAGTCATTGTAATACATGAAATACAATTATATCCAAACAACCACTATCAATGAACAATCGTTTTTATAATAGAAACAAATATATAATAATAGATAATGCTCGACAATATTTATAATAATAATAACATTAGAATAGTAATAATATACATATACGTATAAAATTTACCTAATACATTGTACAACATATACTATATCATTTAATATGAAATGGTTAAATTACTATAGTAATTCGGTTTTCACCAGATGAATTGTTGTAACTATTTGCTATTATAAAGCATTAATAAATTTTTGAATATTTAAAAATCCTAGATAATATCTCATTTTTCATACAATTCAATATATGAAGGTTAAATTTAAATATCCGTGTGTGTTTATTAATAGTATATATGAATTTTGATAGATGTTTATACATAATGAAGCATGCTATAAATAATTAATATTTTATTGCGATGTATATAAGCGAAACGTAAACATTGACAACTTTTTAAAGCAGTAAATATTGAAAACTTATAACTAACTCATGGATATAAAAAGAAATTATCCAATACTATTAGTACATACAATGGTATATTTAATTTATAATTATTTAGTAACCTAATATTAATTTTAATATATTTAATCATTTAATAGTAGCAATTCAGATTATGTCAGATGAAATGGAATGTACTATATAATTTTCATTGTCGAAAAATTATAAACTAGTATGTAAAACAATATATGAATATGAGTTATATTCTACAATGTAAATATTATTATCCTAAATATGATTTTCTATCCAAGTCGATTATTAGTATTTTCAAATAATTGATACTATGAATTATATAATTTAAAAATAAGGATGTTTCTCCACCTGTTATAACAATGACCAAATATGATTTATTTGTTCCGATTGAACGTGTAATTAATTTGTGTGATTTAAGCATCGCATAATGGGTAAATATATTTGAATATTAATTTTCTCGGGGACTATTTTGGAAATTTCGCTTTTTAAAGTCTGATCTAATACTGATGATATTGTACGTATTAATATCTGAATATATTTTTCACTGCTATTAATTTTCACTAAATATTCATTTCTAATATTACATTGATTTTCATCCTGGATACAACGTTTTATTTCCTCTTCAAGTTGATCTCCTTGCAAATGCTCGGCTATACCGGAAAGGTTCTATGAATTTAAAAATAATAATTGAATTTCCAATGCTGTGTATTAATTTAGGTATAAAAAATTATCATTACCTTTGAAACTCTAACAGCAGCTGAATTAATAATTGTTAATTTAATGTTTACCTTATAAACGAACATATCTTTCAATTCCTGTTTTAGATTAATTTCATTATTGCTCATTAATTTCTTACAGACGATATAGTTTCCAATACTTTTATGATCTTCTAATTCCCTCTAAGAATATCATTAGATTAATTTTATATAGTTAAAGAAATATTTACCTTCAATTCTCAGTACTAATATTAAGTATATTATAGTGATAGTTCAATTGGTAATGAACAATTATTTAGATAATTTAATAATTATACAATACATAATTTTTGAGTGAATACAATTGCATACTAGAAAAAGACCGGCACTGAATCTAATATCTAATCAATATGTACCTACTTGTATTTTAATTACTTGAAAATTCTCCGAAATACCAAAGTTCGTTGTATTAAAAGCTTCTACTTTTTGTGATACTTGTGGAACATTCGTTATAATGTCGTTTACTAATATTAACGCAGCATTAATTCTACTGAATAAATTATTCGCTGAATCTCGAAGATCATATTCTGATTCTGCATTCTTAAAAACAAGAATTATTTATTAGTAAATTATTAATTTACGTTATTACAAATTATTAATTTTTATTAATTATCAATTTATATTATTTGTTACTCACAATTTTGGCATTAATTGTCAAACAAATTAGAACGCTTATTAAGTGCTTATTCATTTTTAATTTATGATAAATGAAAGTGAGTTTAAAGATGCTGACGTTATTAAAGTACCAAAGTTTCAAAATCCGTTTCAAATAATTTTATTTCACCAAACGAATGTTTTTATACTAACTCATATAATCAAAAAATAAATAATACTTTATTTATCGCTGTCATCGTGTATGCCAAGCAGACTAAAACAACTAAGTCATCTAGATTACAGTTTCACGAATTAATTATGAGCTATAAAATCTGATATTTTAGAAAAATATTATTGAATTTCAGAAAAGATATCTAAAATAAGTGATAAGTATCTAAAAATATGCAACTACTTATAAAATAATTTGATATTTATATATATTCAATTTCCTATTCTGTTTTAATTTCAATTCAGTTGGTTAAAATAAAAAGTGTAATGCATAAATATAAAATAATGTATTCATTTCGACTATAGTTTTGATCATGATTTTCATTATTCATGTAATAAATAACGATGCCATACATGTAACATAATTATTTTATTGAAATTCATATATATGCAATTTTTCTTTAGTTATTTTGCTATAAAGAATATTTGAAGAAAATTTATTCAAGAAAAGACTTATATTTTTACTGATATTTATTTTCCTATTCATTTTAAATTCTCTGCTAATATATTTAAAACTGGTATTAGGAGAAGGTAATTAATTTAATGCTATTGTTATTTGTGTTCTTTAAAATTATTCGTTTTCAATTTTATTTTATTCCTCAAATTCGTAATTACATACATAAGTTTTAATTACAGAAACGAATATACGTTTTTATAAAATGTAATTTAATTCCCTATTTTTCACATAAAAGATGATTTGATATTTAGATATATAATATATTATTTATTATTAAAAATTCTAATTGCATTTATTGAGAACTTTTTATATTATGATTTTAATTTTAATTAATTACTACATGCAAGAGAGTTACAGTTTTAGTAGAAATATAAATTATTAAAGATAATAAAACATTATATATATTTGAAAAAACTTAGTCTTTATTGGTAGACTATATGTATTAAGTTTACACTCAAAATGTTATTTCTATTAACTTGTTCAATTAATAGAATAAGAACTCTATGAATATAGGAATTTACAATTATACATTTACGAATTTCATAAATCTAATACAAATATATTATCGTTTTAAGACTATAGAACAAACTTCAATTTGAAGAATAATTAGTTGTAACGAAATTTTATAATTTTAATAAATTCAAAGAATACATTACAATTACTGCTGCTTTATTTATATAAATTTAAGTACATAGTCTGCATTAATACTGATAATCATAAGATGATTATAATATTTAATAATGTTTTTAATTTATAGCTCACACCATTTATTATATTTTAATATTGAGAAACATTACGCAATGTTTGAAGTATACTTTGATAAAATAATCACTAAAACTATGTTATTGTTCTATTCTGAAAAAAAAACAATTAATAACAAGTTATCATTCTTTGAACAAATTTCAGCATTTAATATTATTAAAAAAAAATTTCTACTACGTATTACATATTTATATGAAAAGTTTTATATTTCCATTTATATTATTCTTATGAAGAATATAAACTTATAAAATTATTATTCAATAATATGTCGAATATATTTAATAGAAACAAAAATGTGCGTCATACAATACAATCTTTAAATGTAACATTATATATTTATTATATAAAGTAAGTTAATTGTTTCATTAGATATTTCACCAGATTTTCATTATTTTCCCTCTTAATAAATTATTCGATTTATTATAAAGCCACTTCACATTTATAAATTTAAGCTTTTGATGTCTACAGTTTGAATTTTTTTAATTTCACGTAAGGAATAATTGAATTTTTTTTAAACTTATGAGTTTTATATAATTTTTATTTATACATTATTTGTATTTCATACCAATTTTCCACATAAATCATTATTTATAAATGAATTTTATATAAATTTAAATAAAGTGAAGTAAATCCTGTATAATTTAAAGATGCATAGTGCTGAATAATCTTAAATTATCCCAGATATTCAGAAGAACACATAAAAAATTTAATTGATATTTATTAAAAATATCAGATTCTAATGAAATTCGTAAGATAAAGAAAATGAAAAAATCGGTATACGAAAAGCTTTTAAACAAAAATCCATTACAGATATTATAAGAATTAAACCACATCAAATATACGCTTGAATTATATTTGAACTATATATTAATGACAAAGAAAATGATTAAATTATAATGAATTAATATTGAATATCGAAAATCTTTTTAGTATTGCGTTAAAGTAATATATAATTTCACAATCTTTAAAATTGTATGTATGACTTATTCAATATTCCACATTAAATTAGTAAATATTAATAAAAATAATAAAATAATTACAATTATATTAAAAAGAATATATATCGATTATAACGAGTATATATTCATTCAAATAATTAAAATATTTATTTTAATATAAAAATTGAAAATTACCCCTATAAATTATTTAAACATGCAGTAACGGGCTGATAAACCTGTGTCATGACTTTTTCAGATATTAGCGGTGTAACATATTTATCTAAGACCGTCGGCACTACATTATTGATTGTATTAGATAATTTCTCCAGAATTGACTCGAGTCTAAATACTTTTACTGCTAATTCCGTTGTTATTTTACAGTTTGTTGGATGTCTGATACAGTAAGATATTTCTCGATCTAACGATGGTCCTTGTAAATTGTTAGAAATATCCGAAATTTGCTAATAAATGTAAAGGGTATTTATAGTTTTAAATTACAAATATTCACACATTTATCATAGTAACATATTAATAATTTACCCGTTCAAAGAAACCAATGGATGTTTGCGACTTTTCCAATTGAGATCTTACATATTCTTCAAGAGTACCCCTTAATTCAGTTTTCAATTGTTCTTGAGTGTCTCTCAAAAGATTTACACATGTATTGACATTTGGTTTACCCCTAGAATTTCTAATGGATTGCTTGAAATAGATAATAATACTTTTATGATAAATTAGATACTATATATAATTAGAAATTTTGAATTTTGCTAATATTTTGAATGTACTTTTTAAAGATCAATTATTAATTAATATACATACTTCCAATCGCAGTATTCGTGAATTTTGTGGTAAATTGAAGTCTATCGAATTTACTATTTGTCTCAAATTTTGTAATATAGAAGCATAATTATGTTTAATCTCTGTCATCGATTGTGACAAGCCGTTTACGCTTTGTAATAAATTACTCGCCAGAGCTCTTAATTCATCAGGTGATACGGCATTCTAGTAAATAATATTCCATACTATTTATGAAATTTCATGAATTTTAAAATTCTTAATATTAATGTAGATAGTACTTACTACATGAGCCTTCGTCACAAATAATATTACACATATTGAAAAAATTATTTTCATTGTTAATAGATAATACGTAATAACCTGTTATAAAAAATTGTATTAATTTTATAGTTTTTATTACTATGTGCTTGTTGCGATACTCAGACACTACGAATGTAATATTAAATTCTTCAAACTTTTGAAATTAAACACGATTATATATACAGATCACGAATCAGAAAATAAATGGAACTATTAGTTATTTATACTGTCATTACTATCACACGCATATTATATTACTTTTTTTAGACTAAACCAACATGTTAATAAGTTTTAAATATTTTAACACTTTATCGAATTAAATATATTTTTTATTAAAAACGCGAACAAAATGCGGATTTATTCTTCTGTTTTTAAAATCATATCAATTTAGAACGCGATACTCAAATCTGTTAATGTCAATATGATACAAGATAAAAAATAATTGTCTATCATTAAAAACTGAAAATTTTTCAAATCTAAATATACACAGTTGCAAAAGAGATATTTACTTTTAATAGTATCATACATTTTCAAATATTAAAAATATCATGTTTAATATAATAATTGAAAATCTAAATATCCAATTAATCTTGTTTAACTATAAATTGAATTATTTCTGAATTTGCTAACATATCTTCTAAGCATATTTCAATGATTGGTAGATTAACGATGAAAACTCACATACAAAAATTATTGATGAATATATGTAAAATGAATTTTTATTTATATTAAATTATGAATTTTTATAAAAATGTATATATTATATAAATATAAAATTGTAGTCTATTATTGAATTGTTTTGTTCTCGTAAAAATTTTTCACTATCTTCAGCATTTGTTATCCATTTTAGTTTCCTATTAATACATTTCATATATTGTTGCGCAATAATATTTGATAATTTGGTATTCATATCTTTATAGTTATATATGTACTTATGCTACACTCTCGTGTATAAATTATATACATTTTTCAAATTACGTCTAAAATATCTACCTATTAGGTAAAATAAATTTATTATATTTTATATTTATTCATTTCTATAATAAACAAGGAAACAT